CGATGCAAAAAGTTTCATTTCCTATTTGATAGAAATACCATTCTCAGTGCATTTCCCACATTTCAGAAAATATTATCGCTTCAGATCTCATTGATTTAAGTGATTGACATTTTCAAAACGTTTCGCTGGCAGGAATCTCCATACCCAGAGAGCCTTCGTTGAGATCGAATGCATCTGGATTTACCCATAAAACTTAAACTTGTCTGGTTTCTTATAATGACAAGTAAAGATAAAATGAGACAACAAATCTTTGAAATTGTCCATAAACGTTTTTCAACACTCTGCGTAAATGTTCAAACTATGAAAAAAAAAAACAATTGGTTTATTTCTTAGTGTTGAAAATAGTGATCATACTTTCTTGAGTTTTCTACAAAATTATTATCCATTTTTGATCAAAAAAGCACTAATACTGGTACATGGCCATATAAAATGTAATATCACCGATATCTAAGTCGTAATCACAGCAAAACTGATTCACCCACTGAGCATCTACTACTGAAGAGGTTGGGAAGCCACCATTTGCGTGCAAAAACTTACTATACCACGCACTGTTAACAGGATATAATTCGAATATTATGATGAAAATAACCTTCAAACCCTTTCTTCGCCCTTCTCTAATCACTAGGATGGGTTGTGGCTTCTTTGAAAATGTAGCAAAACCTTTCAGAATCATACCAGTGGTTTAATGTGCGTGAAAAAGTAGGGAAACACTTTTTTGCATCTTTTAGGGATAATCATGCTATAACTTGGAAATTTAATCTAAACCTGTCTTAATTTGAGGCTTATCAAATCATATAATATGGGGATGACAAACTACTTGGAAAATTAAAAGAATTTTTTGAGAGACGAAGAGCAAGAAATTCCTCAAAAAATTCCTCCTTATCACATTTTTCTAAAAGCCGCTCAGTTTTAGGTAGTGGGAAACATGAAAAAGAATTGGAAACGTTACCTTGCGGTAGACTCTGCTAAAACCTAATTTCATTTATGTGAAACACAATTATTCCAATTATAGTTAAGGCAATTAACCCACTGATCACAACTCCTGTAACTTTGCTACACGGAAACATATACGAGCGATGATATCTGCTATGAATGGATAGCAAATCCACCAGGAGTTGTTTCAAGCGCTCCGTGTCTTGCTCCAACCTTCTGCACCTAAGCTCTTCTTGTTTAAACCTGTTTTCAAAGATCCTATATTGCTGTCGTTGCTGTAACAACTCATCGCTTCGCTTGTCAAGCAATTTTCGCAAATCTTTGTGATGGTCTGCGGAGCCTCTTCGTCGCATCGAGGCCACCGGGAGACTACCTCGACGTCTTCGCTTCATAGCGAGGTCATAATTCATGTCTTCTGGTTTGCCTGGGAGAAAATAGACTAGAAATCATTAGGTATACAATAAAGTTCCACGTTAATAGTTGTTTCCATCTTTAGGTCAAACAAGGCTTCATTAGCTGCCCTGATGAATCACAGAGCAGCAGCTTATTTAATCAGAAAAGCTCGGAAAGAACTGAAAGGAGGACGTTCATTGACACATGTTTGAGGAGCTGAACATAACCAATTCTGACGAGCTAACCTCAAAGAAGACCAAACTTAAAATTATAGATTGATTGGTATACCTCCTTCGAAACTCCCGTCTGCATTCTCTTGTTCTTCGATGATTCCGACATCTTGAACTGCAGAGCTCCATTTATTTCTCAAAAGGATACTTTTCATCTTAGTTATTTCTTTCTGCAGCCTTTCTTTCGTTGCATTTGCTGCATCTCGTTCTTTCCTCATCTGGTTAGCTCGTCTTTCGTGAGCCGTCATTACAATTTCCACTTCAGAGAGTTTTGTTAACAGGCGTTCAATGCACAGCTCTGCAGTGTCGCCGTCGTTCTGTTCCACAACCTGATGTGCTGATGGCATTTCCAGTAACTCGACTGTTTATAACAGATAAGCATCGTAAGTTTCATAAGTACCGGACTTTTTTCCGCGCTAAATCAATAACCTTTTCTCAACCCTGACGCTTGCGATGTGCACCCTAATGGGAAGAGGGAAGGGGGAAGATAGGCGCGATGCCGGACTGCTTTCTCTTATAGAAAACAAACATTCGCATGAACGGTGTTGAAAAATGCACAGCAACTTAAAATCACATGAGATAGAGTTATCAGCACTCCTATGACTACAGCGACCATACTGTACATAAAGGGCATATCTGAAAACATCTCGCGCATCCTTCAAACATTCAATATCCGCGTCGCTCACAAACCCATAACCACACTACGTCAGTTACTGACTTACGTTAAAGACAAAGACGAACCAAGGAACGGACAGGGAGCAGTTTATAAGATCAATTGCTCCGACTGCCACGCCTCTCACATCGGTGAGACTGGCAGAAACCTCACAACTAGACTGACTGAACACAAACGAGCGACGAGGAAACATCACCGACTTACGAACCACACTATTGGCTGGGACTCTGCGCAATGCCTAACCTACAACACCAACTACTTTCAACGACTGACTCTGGAGAGCTGGTTTACTAACTTGGAACAGACTTCCCTCAACAGGAGTCAACCACTACCGGCTCCATACAAACGACTCATCCACGACATTAACATTACTAACGAACCGAACAAAACGATCTACTTTACTAATGGATCGAGACCGACCAATCACGACCGACCTACTCCACTTGAGTCTTACAGCCAATGACATCACGGCAAAACTGACCAATCAGTTTATACAAAGCAGACTAAGTACATTCGACTGACAACAACTATTCACTTGACTCTGAAGATGACTATCGCTCGAGTTGTCGAAACGTCAGCCACCACTACTGACAATAGTCCTTCTCAGGACTACACTCACCTGGACGATCAAACTACACTTTTATATTATGTTTTCTATGCGAGAAACTGATTAAAAGCAACTTTCTGCTTAAACAAAACGCTCTCCTTAACAGATGCTACTTTTTTGATAAGGGCGCAATATTCAAAGCACTAATTCTTCAACCCTGTTATCACCGGTAACTAAAATTATCACCAGGTGTTCAGCTCTGCTTGGAGCTCTCATCATGAAATTTCACTTAATGGTTTGTTTATCTACTTGTTTAATGTTCTGTTTTTTTTAAAAGGACTAACATCGCGTTTTCTTCAGGATGTCGCTTATTCTTTTTCGTGAAGCCGCATAAAAAGGACTAACATCACGTTTTCTTCAGGATGTCGCTTATTCTTTTAAATGATTTGCGACTAATTACACGAGATGCTTTCTAACTCCAATGCTGCCATTAGCTTTACGAGTCGCTTTTCTTCATGCCTCATAAGCCAATCTGGAAGCACATTCCAAAAATATCAGCAAACGTCCTCATATGTTTCTTTAGTTAACCTAGCTTCGAAAAATTAAGATGTCTTTCATGATCCTTTAAGACCTGAAAATCATTTATCAGTTCAATATGCATTTCAAAGTTACTACAGTAAATTTTGGCTTTTTCCCACAGGATAATACAATATCTGTTTATTTTTAATCCATGAATCCACATTTTGAAAAGCCAAACAAGTTGTAAACTAAGCCATTCTTTCCAAGAGCTTTATGCTTTAAATAGGAAAACAATAACAGCTCTTGTTTACTGCGGATGTGTTTAGTACCTTAGAGCTAATTGAGAACATTGTAAACACATCGAAAAAAGGATAAATGAGACCGAAAACTCACCTTGTGGGAGGCAAACGTGTTGGCTATTTTCAACGCCCAGCGAGGGATTTAAACTTGATACTACCTGGGCAACCACTTCAAATAGTGGAGAGAGGGAAGGATTTGAAATTGGGAAATTCCTCAATCTAGATCCGCTGATTGCCCTAGGCCATTTTGCATCTCCGCCAACGCAAAACATGGGTTTGTCGTATTTTTTACTGAGATGTAAACAAACGGACTGACAAGAGTAATATTAACGGGTGGAATTGTGAAGCTTAATTGATTTCATTAAAGCCAACAGGGATAAATTTCTAACATCTGATACATTACAGAATTAACAGTCTTACTCTATCGACATTTGCTTGTCTTATATGTAATAGTTGAGCTCGACTAATACTTAGAATGTCTTGACACATCTTGGTTTAAAATAAAGTAATTATGCTACAAACGTTACAGTTTACCTATGTTACCAAAATTACAATTTTTCCGACACAGACGTTTTTGGACCGACTTAAGTCCAAACATTATGATGACAAGCTGTAAACTGCAGCCTCAATAATTTCCCTACCTCCTCAGCACTGCTTTCAATAATATCTGAAGAATAGATCCACCGCCGGCATATGACTGTAACGTGACGTTGAATATTCAAATGGCTACATACAGCCCTTGGCTTCGATTACAGGAAAGTCTTTAGCCTCAGCCAAAGAGCAGGTGGAATAACATGTCATAAGAACTTAAAAAGATTCACCGAAGGGGAAATGCAAATTTTTCAATAAGAATATGAATATTGTCTTTCATACCAAAGCGTAAATCATAGCGGCTTATTTTAATTTTATGCCAATTTTAGACTCAGTCGTCCTTAGGTCCAACAAAGAAGTTGAAGGAGTGTTTTATTTTTTAATCAAGATTGCTCTCGATAAACGCCGATAAACTCTTTCCTAGGGGGAACTTTTCATTTACCTTTCGACCGTAATGAAAGGAACGCACTGGATTTACATAACATGCAGCGGCCATTTAGAGATAAAAGCTGCCGAATATTCACCAGGTTCTGTCCTGGCATTCGCTTTCTCTATTTGTTTTGTTTCACGTGAATGCAAAGAGATTTACCTCCCTCTTAACTTCTCATTTTCCCTGTTTAGACTTGCAACAGTCAGAATTTTACCACAATTTAACCTTCATGCAATATACATTTAAGTCGTCCATCCATGATTACTGGTGGACAAAACAAGCATGAGTTTGTGAGCGTATATGTCTTTTTCAATTTCATGCGCGTTAGGTTATTCCAAACGGGACTAAAATTCTATCAGCTCTGTCAAATTGAGGCCTTCGAAATCATCTGTAGATGTCGCCCCCATTCTTATGCCAGTTTTCACATGATAAAAAGATATGAAATTTCACCCCTTCCAGTTCCGAAGAGTGGAGACATCCAAGTCTGTATAGAGACGCAGTGGCTAAACAGTTAAAGTGCTGGACTCCGGGTTGAGAGGTCCGGTTTGGAAACCTAGCTGGGTCATTGTGATGTAATCTTGGACAAAACACTTTATTACCACAGAGCCTGTCTCCACCCACGCGTTTAATAGGGTGTAGGTGAACTGTCATGAAAATCTTACGAAATACCTGGGGTAACCTGTGATAGATTAGTGTCCCATCCAGGAGGAGAGGGGGTAGCAAAACGTCCATTCCATTCAAATTGGGATAAGTTCCGGCTGGATGGGCCATTTGGCTTGAGTGCACACTCCACTTACGTGAGTCCGAACGTGACTCTGAACAAAGGTTACTTAGCGAGGAGGGGTTAATCTAGTTTGGCTATTCTTTACATGCAAACGATCACAAGCCAATGCATTTCACATGCATTCGCCAGAAATTCCTATGACTTAATCTCCTTTAAAATATTTCCCCTATAACATAATTTTACATCATTTCCCTTATCAAATTTTTTCTGATTTAGTGTAGTTTCAAAATTATTTAAATATTTCCGATCTTTTGCAAGGCTGAGGACTAAAATCCAGTGCATACAAAACAATTTGGCAAAATACATTTCAAAGTTACTACCATGTATCAAACACAAACTCATTTACCTATCATTTCAAAATAACTCCAGTGGGGAAACTCGAGCCAGTCTCCCAACCAATAAGATGCAAAACTGTTTCCAATCATGATTTAGTCACTCTCACTCATGAGTTTCTAATGTTAACGGTGCCTTTACGAAACTTTAAAATAAAGTGCACATTGAACGTGATCGTCCATAATGAAAAGGTTTTCCTTTATGTCCTCCAAACTAATTTATATCTCGTTTATATTTGGAAAAAGGAAGACAAGGGAATGAATAATTTCAACAAAGACAAAGATTGTCATGAGTAAAATCACATTACAATTTCATTTTTTTCTTTTAGCACAAACACAACTCTTTTCAGTAATCATGGCTCTTCTATAAATTATATTATATCTGAGCAAAACTTGTGTAATAATCTTAGGTTCATGGGCCTTAGAGAGGCCTTCAACATCACGTGCAAAATACTTTTTACTTTTAGCAGATTGCTAATATAACAAGTAGTCATAAGGACTCAATCAAGAGACGGAGGATTAATACATGAGAATCAACACATCTCTTGGCCCTACTCCGAAGGGTATATTCCAAAGTTGTTGGGAAATCATTGCAGTTTTCGAAGAAAGAGATAACCCGTCTAATCTCGCGAAATTGTTGTATGTCGACATTCCATGTAGGATCTTTCATTCTCCGATAATACATTCGAACGATAAGCGAGATCTTCATAACATATTCAAAAATCCTGAGTCCGAAGATAACTTGGGAAAATTACCTTTGGAATAAGGCCTGTCTGCGGTTTCAGCCTCTCAGCTTCATTCTCTTACGGTTCCTAACAGATTGGTTTTGCATCGCATACATAAGACTATAAGGCTAGCAATAGAATTTAAAGTACCCTAAACTAGTCTTCAAAATCAGACCACCCTTCCTTACATCTATCTGAATAACAAAAGAGACCTAAAGAATTTGGTGCGGTTAATTACTAATATTGGGAGATCACTAACGACAGCTACCGAGTATTTTTGATGTAAATGTACTATCCCTGCATGTACATCACGGTATCTTGATTAATAAAGCAAATTGTTAGATAGGTTGCATTTATTGTGAGATTGGCACTGTGTTTTAATTCCAGCTTTGGTTCGCTTAGGAGGTTTGCCTTTGCTACAGAACGAGGCTGACGAACAGTTTTCCAAGTCTCATTAAATGACACTAATATCTAGATAGCCAAGGAATGGCCTCTTGTGTTTTTCCCAAGACTCTTACTGAACTTCCAAATTCTTTCGAGAATAGTTATATAGAGATCGACATATTAAACATGTAATTAAAAAACCACTACATCCATTTTCACTCACATTACCATGTAAACACATTTAAACTTTGAATTCCTTTTAAAAATTACGTAGGAAATATTTAAATTCGTTAAAAGGCCACAGCAAGATAGTCAAAGTTTTGCCATAATAGGTAAATTCATGCTCTATGGTACCTAAATAAAAAAAGATAGAATTTGAGGTTATTCGTAATTTGAACACATTTCAGTGTTCTTTAGGTTCACTACAGAAGCCCTCTTCATTGCGACCAACCCAACTGAGAGTGAGGTTAGTCCGATTTTATTTGAGCTATGAAGCTCTTGAGTTTCAAATATGGTAAAGTTCACTAATTTTGGGCGACGTACTTTCATGGTGCACGATTAGAAATCCTTGACTTAACAATTGTCATAGGTGAAATACAATAAGAAATTTGCTAGAGTTCATACGAACAAAAATTACTAATAAATCAGTGTTCCCCTACAAACCTTGAGAAAAATCGTTTCGGTACGCAATAGTTTGCAATGCCAATGAACCGGGCTGTCGGAATTGAAGTAGAGTTAGATGACTGGTTAAGTTACAGCCGAGGGAATCTTCTCACTCACAGAATGATGCAGTAGTTTGCATGTTTTCTATCCTCGTCACTTGAAATACCCAAGTGGTTAGACACGAAGCTATTAAGGAACTGTTGTACATCTTTATTGCCCTCTTTTTCAGCAATCCCCATTGCTGTGTCTCCATCATGAGTGCGCTTCACAATCATCTCTACCCCTTGTTTGAGGAGAGCATCAGCGACTGCTACTGTCCCGTCCTTGGTAGCAGAATGATGTAAGGCATTCCATCCATTCTTGTCCACAGCATGCGTGTCAGCTCCATGCGTCAGAAGGAAACTTACTAACTCCGGGTGACTGTAGCGGGAGGCGATATGTAGGGGAACTGAACCGTCTCCCGCTTGGCAGTTTAACTGCATGCCAAGCTTTTTCATTCGTTCGATTACCTTTTTGTGGCCTCCACGACAAGCGTAATGAAGAGTATTCCATCCCTCATTGTCAACTTCGTAAATGTTACCACCCCTTTCTAATAAGCAGTCAATGACGTCATTATGCCCTTTTAACCCAGCACAATGCATAGCGGTGACGCCTTGTTGCGTTTTCTGGTTGGGATCCACCCCACTTTCCAGTAGGATTTCCACGATCTTTACGTGACCCTCGAGGCTTGCTAAATGCAATGCCTTCCTTTCTTGGTTATCAGAAGCTTCTACATTGGCCGCATGCGACAATAATGGAGCAATCACTTCAGTTTGTCCGCTCTTAGCAGCAAGAAGAAGGGGGGTTAAATTGTCTCTGGTCGTGCAGTCCACCTCCACACCAAGCTCCAATAGCAGTTCAAGAATAGTCACGTGACCATGATGACTTGCGATGTGCAATGCATTCCACCCGTCGTTGTCGGTAATGTGCTCGTCAGCTCCCTTCGAGAGAAGTAATCTTACTGCTTCTGGGTGATCGTGGATCGTAGCAATACTAAGAGATGTTCTCCCGTCCGTTGTTTTTTCACTGGTATCCAAGCCAAGCTCGAGTATTGTTTCTATTGCGATAGTATGCCCATTTTGACAAGCAAAGTGTAACGCGTTCCAACCTTGGTCGTCAACAGCCTTAAGATTTGCTCCTTTAGAAACAAGTAGGTTTAAGGCACTTGCGTGGCCGTTGAATGCTGCGGAATGAATAGGGACCAGGTCCCTCTCAGCTACAACGTTTGGTTCCAATCCGTAGCTTAATAAAGTTTCGATCAAATCCGTTTGCCCTCCTTGACTGGCAAAGTGAAGGACAGTCATTCCTTCGTTATCCACAACATTTAGATCAGCCCCCTTTGAGAGTAAATACTTAATACAATCCTGATTTCCGCGCAATGCTGCAATACCAATGGGCATCAAACCAGAATTTGTTCCGACGTTTGGGTCAATTCCCTTGTTAAACAATTTCTCGACAACTGAAAGCTCACCACCCTTGCAGGCATGATGCAAAGCAGTCCACCCCTGATTGTCTCGAGCTAAGATGTCTGAATTTTGAGTTGAAAGAAAATCTACGTACTCTGGAAGGCCATGTCTAGCCGCAATGTGTAACGGAGTTATTCCTAAGACTGACTTGGCATTTACATCAAGACCTTGATTTGAAATTGATTCCATGACATGGAAGGGAAGGCGACCACCTTGAGTGGCGTAATGTAATATAGTCCAGTTATCTTTGTCAGTAGCTGTTAGGTCAGCCCCCTTACGCATGAGATACTTTACTACTTCGGGCTGGCCGTAACGCGCTGCAATATGAATTGGAATAGTTCCCTGAACTGTTCGAATGTTGACATCTACTCCTGTTTTAAGCAGCGCTCGAATAACAGATATATGGCCACCCAGGCTGGCAAAATGCAAAGCAGTCCATCCACATTTGTCAGAGGAGTTTGAATCAGCTCCTTTAGAGATAAGAAAATCGACTACATCTGGATGCCCGTGACAGCTTGCAATCATCAAGGGAGTGCAGCCTCCGTTGATTCTGGTGTCCGCCTCCATACCACTTTTTAGCAGTGTCTCTACCACTTCAACGTGACCGTTTTGACAGGCAGAGTGTAGCGCGTTCCACCCATCCTTGTCCACAACATCAATATCTGCCCCACAGGAAATTAGAAAGTCAACAGCCTTGAAATGACCGTTTCGTGCAGCAGTATGTACTGGTGTAGGACCGTTTTTGGGTGGGATGTTAGATTTGATTCCATGTTTAAGAAGAACTTCGATAACAGGGACATGACCACCACGGCTTGCCAAAAACATTGCAGTCCTTCCATTTCCGTCCAATGCGTTTCCGTTACCACCGAAGGTCAAGAGAAGGTTCACCGCCTTCTCGTGGCCGTTGGAGGCAGCCAAATGCAAGGGTGTAGCACCGGAATTTGTTTTCACGTCGGGGTCAATACCATCCACCAACAGAAGCTGCATAACAGTAACATGCCCACCTGCGCTCGCCCAGTGTAGAGCAGTCCAACCTTCTTCGTCCACTGAATGGGCATTAGCACCCAAAGAGAGGAGATACCTGACAGTATCTGGGTTTCCATATCGCGCGGCTATGTGTATGAGAGCCATGCCATGAGCTTTTGCGTTTGCACCGACCCTTTTTACGGCTAGTTTTTGAACTGTTTTTATATCACCATATTTGCATGCATTCCACAGTTTTGACAAAGTTCTTTTGTTCGCTTGGACTACTCCTTCATCATGACAGCCTGTCACCATTCTTCAGTGACATCTCATGCCACCGGGGTTGTTTTCAGGTTTTGCTACAGCACCTGTGTTGTTATACCTTCAAGGAAAAGTTAAAGTACGGTACGTTAAAATAATTTATTGTCTGTTTAGGCTTCTATTAATCAATCGTTGTTCCCAAACTACTCCCACATAATTAATTTTCGAACGTTACATTTAGCATTAAATGACTTGTGTTGATCTTACAAAATAAAATTGCAAACTTTACGCAGAGTGACTTTCATTAGCGTTTGATCTTTTGTAATTTTAAAATTATGTAAACAAAGCTATGGCTCATGAAATTGAATTGTTTCATTAATCTTTTCTCGCGAAGCCTCCCCCGCAAAAGCTAACGGAGATGCAATATTCATAGTTGAATAGGAGTTATAATTACATGTTTTTTAAATGTTTTAAATTTGGGATCGATGGTTATAGTTCTAATTTGAGAGTAAATAGAACAACATGGATATCTTGTTCTGTCGAAAAATGTTTGTTTACAAAAGAGGAAAAAATTAAACGATCTTGATTCACATCATTCTGTTTAATGGAGAAAGATGAACCCCTACAGTTCACACATCGCTGAATATGCATGGACCTTAGAGAATTGCTCGAAGAACCGTTTTACATGGGCTCTTCATATTCCATTAAACGAATTAGTTTCCAATAAGCATGCGACACAAAGAAATAAAAGGATGGGCTGGTCGCCGAGATTGGAAAAATTTAAGACGGGTAAAATCAGAATCACCGACTTCGCAAAGATTAATCAAGACTAAGCATTTCGTTGAAAGTGCTTTACTTTTTCCATAATTAAGTACGATTTAAGATGTACACTAATAAGATCTTTTATAAGAAAAAGCGAGTCGCCTCTAACCAAAGGTTGATTTCAACCCACAGGTCTACACGATCGTAGGTGTTTCAAAATTCCTCCCTGTCCAAAGTTGGTTATTTCATAATTCTAGAAGCAACAGAAGAGAACTAAACGACATATTTTCTTGGCAACTCGGCACTATAACAGTTCAAAGAGGCAGATGAACAAAAATGAAATTCCGAACCACGACAGTAGCACTAAATGCAGGATGGACCAAGATATCCATCAAACACAGATCGCAGTCACGAAAGCGAGCAAGTTATCTGCAAAGATTGCGTGGGTTGGTGGTAATAAGATGTTATAAATTTTCGCAACCATCTGTAATTATAGTGAAGGGTCAAAAAATCTTCAAAAGGAAGTCTCGAGTTCCCGTTCATTATCAACAACGCAGCTACAAAGCGAAATGTTGGCCATTGTAAGACGTAGAATGTGGTTGAAACCTACCGTTGGTTTCGAAGGTTGCCGTCGAACAGCCCTATCACGAGTATATTTTTTACCACCTTCAGCATTACATTCGCAATTATATTTCTTTACACTTGATATTAAAATGAAGCAATTAACGCTCCGAAGCCGTGGAATAAGTTAGAAACAATGAAGAAACCCATAAATTTATCATTATAAATGTTTTGAGAGTACTTTCACCATTTTACGTTTATTTACGGGAAACGCGGCTGCAGTAGTCAAATACTAAGGAACAAGTCTACGTTGGGAATTTTACATCCGCCTTGGAACCCTTGAGGTCGACCAACCTTTTCAAACAGATTCTCATATGTAGAACGAGAATTCTCTCACTGTTGAATATTCAGTACTACAGTCAATCTATTATCCCAACCTAACGACGCTTTGAAACCTTTCATTAGCCATAAGAAACATACATTCATTACCGCATGATATTGATGGCCAAAACCTTAAAAAATAGCTCGGGTACGACCTTCGTTTGAATATTTTGAACCCGCACGACATACTATGTTTCTTATTTTAAAAAGTTCTACAGAGGAGACATGTATGTCTTACATTACCCATTTCCAAACGTGCGCCACGTTCCGTCAATATTTTCAGTCAACATAAATTGAACTCAAGTAATTTATTCCATCTAGCACGAATAAATCAAAATGGCAGGTCCTCGCTTTATTTACACAAAATACCTTGCAGGCGATCTGTATTCATTTTACCACTGCCACTAATAACGGCGGATCATAATTTTTCCAACTTCCAAATTTGAGATATTTTTTCTTCTCAAAAACAATCTCCACGTAAAGTTTTTAATTTCCTGACCTCTGAAGTAAGACCTACTTGTTTCAAATCGGACATTTGATTCGACAAACGATTAAACTCACAGAATATTTTGGGGATGATTCTGGTTTACAATTCCGGTCAATTTCCATTTTCATTAAATTCTGATGCAGTTTTTGAACGACAACTTCTATTCATCCCTTCCTTTCAACGGTTCGAGTAAAAAACGCCAACAAAAACACTAGTAACCTGAAAGGTTATCTCAGATCTATGAATTGACGTACATCATATATTACTCATACATACATCAGTCGATACCGCCATCTCGTCATACAAGGGACTTGAAATAACAAATACCAAATCCGTTTAAAATACCAAACCCTTTGGTTTTTGTGTGAAGAACCTAACGTAAAGCTGACATTTCGAGAAATTTTATCCAAACCATTACAATAAAAGCTTCAGATACCTTTCAGGTCAACGAAGAGTCCACCAAATCGCTGGAGGTTCTACTCTTGCATCAAAGTTCCTGCGAAAGCACACAAAATGCAAAATTACCAAAAATATAAACAAAAAGCTCCACACAGCGGGGAAACGCGGATAGCCCACTAACCGCCACAATGTAACGAGATCCTGGCTTTGTATAGCGCAGGTGAAAGGCCATTGGAAAGCTTCGACCTGCTCGATGTAACGTTCAAACGGGCACTTCCGTTTTGTCAGATACCCTAGTTTGTGCCTATAATGGCTTTCCCTGTTTAAATTGAGCCGTTTTGGTGAAGCTTGAATTTGATGATTTTTGCCTTTGTATGAATATTAACAACTTTCACTGACTTTGTGAGGTATACATAATTTATGTTTTCGGGCGCGAAGCGTCGGGTGGCCAAAGCAGTTGCGTTGCAGTTCTGAAACACAAGAGTGCCTATTAGAATCATTTTTTCCCATTCTATGAGCTCTCAAATTTCCTTCGAGTCCATTAAGACCGAGAGATACCTATTCTCGTTACTAAGTAATTGGAATTTGAACTCTGTATTCAATTCTCTGCTTCATTTTCCGTCGACTAATTGCATATTACAATAATTTGTTAATCAAAAGAATATACACGTTTACTTATTAATCCGAGGCCCATTTCAAATTCACTTCGGAATTATACGGAATATGTCATCTTGTTCGCAACGCGAGGCGTTCATTTATTTGCGGCCGTGGCCAAAGTGCCGATGACTTTCTAAAGCCTTACGGCATAATTGTCTTCATAATAAACCAGATTGACTGAAATATAATATAAAATAAATAATTTTTTAGTTCCTTCTTAAACATATTTTACAATATTTGTTCTATGAAATGCTTTGTCTCATAACATTTACCAAGATGATGTCTTCAACAGACCGATGTTTGTCGAAACATTAACAAAAAAAGCAGAAGGGAAAAGTAAAATAAAATAGTTGGGAAAGTAAGAACAACGAAATGTTCCTTTAAAAGTCGATACATCTCTTTGCTCCTGTATCTTGTTCTTCACAAAAGCCAATTCAGAATTTTTGCGAGATATTCACCGCACCGCAAGACCACGTTATAGCGACTCATTAACATCGCAGCAATAACTATTTTTTATGACGCTCTACTTTTAAAGTTGACACTACGATTACCACCTCTTTTCTTTTCATTTTATTCATTGATCTAAAAGCAAAACGTAATGGAAACCTCAAATAACTCCAAGACAGAATGAATGATTTCAATAGCGTTTGATCTAAAAATGTCGGCCCTCAGCATTCACGTTAAATCGAATTTTTTTGATGAATTGCATCTACGCTCTGTTGACAGAGGACCACCTTTAGCCATCGCTGTTTGTTTCTTATCCAAGGACCAATAAACAGGACGTTCACAAGACAAACCTCTAAATTGAATTACCTAATAGATTTTTCATTGCATGTCAATCTGAAAGGCAAAACCGACATAACTTACTAGTAAGAGGAAGATGTTTTGCCAATCCCCAGAAAAAAAATACATCCAAGTGATTTCAAACGACAATTGTGCAAACGTTGTCGAACTTTGAAGCGACATTTGTCAAATGAGGATAGACTAATCCTTCAAGGTGATAGATGGAAAGGAAACTCGGATTAAAATAATTGAATTAATACATTTTTTACGGCGCCTGGTTTCTTATCAAAAACAGTTTTACCAGGATTTTATTTCCCCTCTGGTCGAATGTTAATTCCCCCGTTTTGTCTTCAACCTTATTGAAAGATCTATCTGAATTCTGGCTTCCTATTTTCCATCAAGAAAAAATATGACTACACATCATTTCCGAAGTTTTTAAAAATTAAAGTTAGCTGCAAAAACATAATCAAACGCCACAGATAAAGCACTAAAACTCTACGAAAAATATTGGCTTTCGACTGTCAATATATTATGCTTACCTCCATTCATTCCCACGGCGTCTATATTTCAGCGTCTTGGTGCATTTACTACAAGTTCAATGCCATTGCATGCATGGAAGCTAAAACCACAACTCTCTTAATTAACGCAGTTCTAGGTGTTGTGGTGACAGGTGCCTTTGAATTACTATGCCGAACTTATAATTATTCACTTGATGTGGCATACATAACATATCACGAATTGTAAATCTCTGATAATCACGCGGGCCCAAAAACGCAATTCGAATTAACCAGTAATTTCAGTTGGGTCTTTCAGAACAACTTCACTACCAGGCTGTAAGCTAAACATTTTTTCGTTGGTTTTCCTCTATTTTCAAAGTCAAACAATGGGATATTTTATCTCGAAAGATACAGCAGCCCCAGCATGCCGATATTTCAAACCGCAGAGAAATAGAGAAGGTGGAAACTCTTAGGCTGGAAAACGAAAATCATCCTTCATACTCGGATATCCTCAAAACCGAATGAAACTCCAAATACTGAAAAAAAAAAAGGAAACAAGCAGCTCAGTATTCATTAAATTTTTGATCACCAAACTAGAAAACAACATCAACATTTGTTTGGTATCGTAGAAAGGAAGTTATAGTCACGGTTAAATTATTATCAAATCGGTTCTCCCGATGAAATAGCGTTTGGTAGAATACTCGATTACGGTTAGTTCCTAATTCAAGCAGGAATTTGATTTTCCTCAGTTTATCGTGTTCAACTTTATTCAAGTTTCTTGAAAACAACTTGAAATTTTTGCAGAAGAAGCTGGGGGTTTTTTCCATCAAGACCGGGATATTGGTAGGCTTTGAAATTAAAAAATTTATGATATTAGGAAACAAACTTCAAGAGATTGCTTTTTAAGCTAACCCCCGCATCATTATTCTTTAGATTAAGTTTAAAAATATTGTCTCGGCGCCGTAAGGTTAGTTGAACCCCGAGTTTGCTACTTGGAAATCGTCGACGATACGCCAAAATCTTCAAAAGTTCTGCGAATGGTCACAAATCCAATTGGAAAAATTCAACTGATTTCATAAAAAAATATTCGGAGAAACTCGGGAGGAGGTCGAAGGTCTTCAAGTAACGATCTTTGAATAGGTTGCAATTGAAAGTCTCGGCAACCAATCAAATTAATACGTTCACCGTTAAATAATAATGATACAACTTATATTTACATTTTCTGGAAGCCATTAAGACACCGCGCTTTCCATAGTGACATGACACGGCACCTTGACGAAAATATAAAAACTTCTGTCTAAACTGCAGTCGGAGGTGATAAACTAACTGGAGTACTTAAGGTGTTATTTAATATAGCAACACGGAGATTGTTTATTACGTTTGCAAATAAGAAAAATTTCGAAAAGCTTTGATGCCACTGAAAGTAAATGAGTTTATTTTGCGGTATTTGGGTTGAATGGTTGATCTTTTTCCTTTTGAGAAATTAAAATTCCCACAGAGAAATCCCCAGATATTATATTTTCCTTGAGAAACATCTTAAGAATAAAAAAGAACATAAAACCATTTACAATTCACCAACCACTTCTTAACATTTCGAGTAACATACGGTGCAACACGTTTATCAATACTTCCAGTACCGGGATCTGACTGGCAATATTTCTGCTTCCATTCATTCTCTCCTGAATCAGTAATGAGAGTTTAATGCAATGACAAGTGAACATTCCTTGTACCTTGCACATTGGCTTACTGCAAACGCCTATTTGAAAAAGAAAGGGGCTACTTGGCGCAGTTGTCCAAAGGGCAGATCATGCCATCCAACAGATAAATTCCTACCTTGCGGATACGAGCTAACAAAACGCACTGTACTATCCTCCGGATAGAGATTTATCCGATGGATTTTGTATGTCATTTTCAATACTTCGAACAGCGTTAGCCAGATGTTTGTAAGGAAAAGTTTAAGATCTTAATTGCACAACCCGTTATGCACAACCAAATCAAATCACATTAGAGCCATTTCTCTTATTAAGGTGACTTTTTTTTCTTTTTTTTGTGTTGATTCCAGTCTAGTCTAAATACCATTCTTGAACAACTATGGAACAAATAGGTTAAGAAAAACATTTGGAGCCACTGAAGGTCATTCCATAGATTTCTTTTAAAATACGCTCCAAGTGCTAGGAAAATCACTGCCAATATAGTCTTTCTTTTGTCAAAAGAAATTAGACAGAAAACTTAAAACAGGCTCTGACGCCACAGCCTCCTCCATGACTAGCCGTCATTCCTTTTCGAATTTTGCCAGGCGTTGTTGTCTAAACAAAAATTGCATATCGAAGTTTATGCGCCCACTATAACATATTCTCTTTTTTTATTGAAATTCATCCACTGAGGGGGTGTAGTCGCGAGCACGTAAATTATATGTACAGCACTTAAAACCTCCATATCAAGCTTACGTTATGGTTGATATCGCTTGTTCTAGTTTACACTATTTATCAGTACATTTTATTCACAATCTCGACATCTCCCCAACACAGTATTAGATTTTTAACTGCAAATATTGCAATACCGCAATTGCTTTTAGGTTTTCCTTTACATTCACTATCTCCAAATAGTCTATCCACCAACGCACTAAGCATTGATAAACTTTAAGTCAATCTAGACATAATTATGGACCAAATATCTCTCGTGAAAGGAATTAATCAACCTTACGCTTGAATTATCTCTATATCCGGTGTCTGTTCAGAGGTAAATACGATATATTTTCAACACATCATGCGTAAGATCACGCAGTTTCGTGATTTAGACAATGCAAAAGAGTGCATGCTTACTATTTGAATTACTTCTGGTCCTCCGAAACACTGTCCAAGTGAAGAAAAAATACTGAAAGTTCAAAACTTCCGTCAACCATTTTTACTGTGTGACAATCTTTCAAACTCTCTTAGTCAAAAAAACATCCACGGTGATTTCGGAAACATCTGTGGGCTTTCGAGCGTAGACAATCTATTTTTCACGCCTTCAATATTGATATTTTTTCATTATGTAGAACAGCGATTAGGATCTCAAAATTGGGTTTTCCATCCCCTCTAATTCTTAAAATGCGCCAAAATGAACTTTTATTTACCTTTCAACTCGTGTTTCGTCTACTTTCAGCAAAAGGAAAGAGGAAAATAACTTCCCAAAGCTAGAAACAGTATAACACCTGTTTTGTTAACTTTTTTTACGAAGGAAGAACTTGACATGCTTATCATGAATATAAGGAGTATTCTTCTCGTACGTACCATTTATAAGTTATCCAAACAAAAGCTAGTTGCCATGGTACAAGTTTAACGGGGCTTGACTCATTTCCAGCTCAGTGTTTCAGTAATGACCAATAGTAAGCGATTTTATTAGAAAAACTTGAGTCTGACCGGGTTGGGAACACCACCGCGTCAGTAAACATATCCCCTGCGATCTATCCAAATAATGGAAATAGCTCCATTTTTTAAAAGACATTAAAACGCCTTTTTTGCAAGGAAACCGTTTTCGATATTTTTTCCACGTAAAATAATTTAAAAGGAATTCCCGTCACGAGCTTGCTGACATCACGAATCCTAAGAATAGGTTTTTAACAATATGTAATTACTCCTCGACGGTAAACAAGAATCAGTGCTCAGGTGAAAAGAATTTATATTTATGCGCATAGCTGCACGACAGAGCAATCGATAGCAGAATATCTTTGTTTTCGATCTTACGGCTATATGGAATTATTTCACATCACTGTAAAAAAAAAACACAAGCACAAAAACTTGAACAAAAGTTTGTTCGTTTACCTAATTTTCGAGCAGAACTGCGCCTACATTTTTCCAGCTAAGAAAAACCTTATTATGTGAGAGATCATTAATTTTTCCTTTTTTGTCTTCTATTTTAAAAAGTATTTCGTCGTAGCCGGTCATTTATCAAATCTTGTTCTCATTTCATAGCAAAACGCAATCTCTATCGCCCTTAATAGGTACACGACGCTTTTTAAGATGATTACGAAAGTCTCGATCGCTTTACATCAATGTGTTGGTGTTTATCACGCGAGTATTTGTTTCGCATTCCTTTCTGCATAAATTTGGCATAAATGAATTCTAGGCGTTAAAAAACACAATTACTTCTAGGTTTTCATTAAAGACAAAAAAATTCTAGAGAACCTCTTTACTGACAATCATTGAGAATTGATGAACTAAAAGTTCATATTCCCTGAAAGGAATTAGTTAACCTGTCTCTTCAGAGGTAAATTCAAGCTCTTAATAAGTCAAATCATGCAGTTTCGGTATTTTGAACCACGAAAAAAGCTACATTATGTTTGAATCTTGAATTTCCATTCCAAAATGTGTCCCAAGTGAGGTTAAAAACTGTAAATTAAAAACTCCCATCAGCAACCATTTTTTTAAGGTATAGTTCTTCCCCTAACACAACTATGAACAACGATTGATTGAAACATCTATGACGATTAAAGTATACTTATTGACCAAACTCCTCCATAATTAAAATTTTTTTTCACTGGGTGGAGCTTCTGTAATTTTCGACTCGCCTCGATTTCCAGAAAAGCGCTGAACTAATTTGTAATTTACGTTTCAACTTCCGTCTCAGGTATTTCAGCCGAGAAAAAGAAGGAAAACAATGACTGAATCGTAAAAGTACATAAAAAGGGAAGTACTTAGTAAGCTTTATGAAAAGAAACCTTAATCTCACAAATGACCTGCCGAGCATTTTTTAATTGCAAGGTAGTTGTCAAGACTCAAGGTTTAACGCAACATGACTCGACATTTCAATCTGAGTGTTTCAGTTGCAGAATTCTGATGATAAATGATTATAGATGACCTGTTTGGGAACCGGCACGAAAATCAAGAATAGCTTCCCTTTCAGTTGCTTTTAGCTCCATTTTTGAAACGAACTTGACACGCCAGAATACAACACGCCAAATCTTATAGTACAGTTTTTTTGTCTTTTTTCTTCTGAAGTATCCCTCGATTTTGATTAGTCTTCATTCCTCAGGTGAAATGTTGCTTCACTGGGGTAGATTCTGTTTTTGTTCTTTTACCTTCGGTTACACGCAATATTGCATTGCATGGTATCATTTAACCTACAGAAAGTTTGTTTAAAGCGTTAAATGTGCGTGCACAAAGCAACATACAAGCAAAACTTTTCCATCTTCTACTTTAAACAGACTTCATTGCGGCCGGTAATTCATCAAATCAGTCGCTAATCTAATCGCAAGCACAA